TGAGAACTTCACTTTGTAATCGTTAGAGAATATCTCATGTGCAGCCTTCAAGACGTCATCTTTATTCTGGCCATTGGTCCTCTGTTTTGTTGTAGTTTCAAATGACCCCACAAACTTGCAGACACCTTCATTTATCTCCCCCCCCCCACCTTTGTTTACAGTGGGTCTGCTCTCTTGGAGCCAAAACAACCACCTTGGGACTCGCATTATTAGTAAGCCGTAATCCTCTTCCAAAAGGTTTCTGCCTTTTTCTCATTTCCAACGAGTAGATCCTTAGAGGTGTTCAAACATGCACTGATGAAGATCAGGTCTTCAGCTGTTGACCACTTGCATCTTTGCTTACGGTCCTCACCAGTTTGTGCACGTGAAATAGATCCTCCAACGTCTGGAGTAGGTGAAAACTCAGAAACTGAGTTCGGTGTTCATTGTTAGGGAGTTGACTGTTTAGTAAGTTTAAAAAGCTAGAGGATTGGCTTTGATTTGGATCCATACAGAGAGAAGAAAGATGAAAGAGATGATAAGAAAGATAAAGAGGAAAGTGAGTATATAGATGGCCGAGTAGGAAGAGAGGATGCATTTATTGACAACCAACAAACAAAAACGTGTTGACATTTATCTACTAGTTTTATCACATTAAGCGTTAATCAGTTGTAGATATCCATCACTTCTATTAATCACACAACCATATCCTAACTCTAACCACACATTAATACAGTCGTTTCAATTCTAACCACAACCTAAAACAATTATAGTAAGGATAACCAATTAAGAGCAGACACAGAGCAAGGATTGAAACATAGCAAATCAACTTTGATCCATTCGTATTAATTGAAACAAAATTCAAACCCAAGAACAAATAGAACATATCCAGAGATCAAACACATCAAAATTTTGATTTCAGGTGAAACAAAAGAAACCAACAAACTAAAATAATCAGTCACATGCATGTTCAAACAACAAAACAACCGGTTTACCTTTCAATTTGAGGTGAACGCTTGGATTTGAGCCACCGAGGGAAAGCTTCGAGGAGAAGACCCACCGAGAGACAGAACCAACAAACTACATAGAAAAACAACAGATCGGACCTAATCGAACACATGCATAGTCAAGAACACAACAACCGCTTACCTTTTGATTTCGAAAGAGCCACCGAGAGAGAACTATGTCGTCTCCAGGAGAACCACCGGCGGAGAGGTCGCCGAAAAGACCCACCAAAGGAGACGTCACGGGAGATACCGACCGAGATGTCGCTGATGAGAGACACCGAAGGAGACGAAATCGCCTTTCGTCGAGAGAGTTTTGAGAGAGAGATGAGCGAGAGAGAGAGAGAGAGAGAAAAAGAGAGAGAGAGAGAGAGAGAGAGAGAGAGAGAGAGAGAGAGAGAGAGAGAGAGAGAGAGAG